GCTCTAGCGGTCCTTAGGTGCTCCGACCCACGAGCTCGGCGACGACTTCCATGGCAAGACGGCGACGCTTCGGCCGTGTGTGCCGGCTGGCCGACCAAAGATTGGTGGTAGCATTTACACCAAGCGACTACTCGTGATGGAGAAGGCTAAACACGAGCTAAAAATGGAGGAGGGGAACGGTGCCGGCGTGGCCACGGTGAGGTCACCCGGCACGGCCATGGCGCAGCGGTGTCAGAAAGGTCACAGCGACCTTACCCAAGTCTAATTGACTTGTTGTGAGGTGGAGGAGGTGGAGTAGGTCACGGCGCAGCTGCTGACGAACAGGGCAACGCGCTTTCGCGGTGGCGAGGCGAGCGGGGCGAAGGCGGAGCAATGGCGGACGGCGGCGCTCTCTTGCAGCGCACGGTGAGAGGCGAGGAATGCGAAATGGGAAGGGCGAGTGCGTTCGGGCAGGCGCGAGGTGGCTTCAAGGCGCGGCTGCGACGCCTTGGATCATGACTGTGGCGGGTGCCCGCGAAAGGAGTCCGGCGACGAGTGGCGGACACGCTGTGGCGTCTTTTTTTCGAACCGGTCGGACACGGCGGTACTGAAGGTTTTCTGAAAAACACGATTCAGTGCTAAAGCCGACGCCTGACAGCGCGTATTCGACGATGATTTACTCCTAATCCGTGACGAGTTAGTGGAAGAATTGAACATCAAAGTTGTAGACCTATCTTCCCTCTACAAATTCTTTTCAATGACCAACACCTAACACGCCATGGATCCGAAGTTACATGAAGCCAAAGTGAGCTCGATGCAACTGAAATGCAGTTAAGACTTAGCATATTTTTTCAGTGTTGAAATCAGCATGTATTTCTGACTTGTGGGCCATGTTTGAGCATGTTCTAGCCATTTTCATGAGATGATCATAAAACAACTTTTGTTCCTTAACAAATTAGCTACAACTTTTGTAAAGAGTGTACAGCCATGCAAAGCTTCCAAGTTGGTCTTTTGAATCAGTCAAACAGTGTCACTCTAAGGGTCATTAAAAGTCAAATCTCTCCTAAAGGGCAATTTGGTCATTTTGGTCCACATGAACAATGTCCAAACAATTACCCTAAGTATAGTTAAGGTGTATTAGACCATGATCAACCACTTTACAAAGTTGTTATACCACTTCTAATGATCACATGTGATACAGCAATTAAAACAAGCAATTCATTCATATGTTTCAATACAATGTTTCACATGTTGCATGACCTGGTTGTTATCCTATACTTGTCACATTACTACCATTTTGCCATGCTTCAAGATGTGAGAAATTTATGTTGCATTCACAGATTACACCAATACTATTCACAGCAATCAAGCAGGAAACATACACAGTTGAAAATGTTGCATATGCATGTTTTAGTAACAATGGCAATGATGACATAGATGATGCATATGTTTATGAAATGAAATGCAATTAGTGGAAGCCTAAACACCTAGGGTGTTACAGGAGAACCATCTTCAAATCAGCGAATCGTATCGCGCTATTCAAACGAGTTGCAGCATTCCCGATATAGGATAAATTTGTTAACATAGGCATATAAGACTTAAATATATATCGTACAAATATATGATAGTTTGGTTGCGAAAGAGACTAAATTAATATGTTTGAAGCTTCTTTGTATAACTGCAAAGGACATAAAATTAATCTATTCTCACTTGGAAGACCTACGCAAAATATAAAATACACTACTAATTTTTCACCCTAGTGCAATGTCACAAAAATATTGCAATAGGCCCAAAATAGTTGCAATAGCACCAACAACAGAAATTGGCATTGCAAGAAGTCGCATGGTCCAAAGATTGGACAATACTTTTGTTGGGATGTGTTGCAGTACTTTTTTCCATTTGCAACACATATAGCATAGTCCATAGGTTTTTGCTACAGTTGTATGTGTGGCAATAACAATTATTAGATGTTGCTGGATGTAACAATGGCAGTGTACCCTTGTCGTGCCAAATAGTGTACTAACAACGAAAAATGTATGTAAAAGTTAACAATAGAATATGATGAAACTTAACGAATGGCATGCATGTTAAAGTTAGACTTATAAGTTAGATGGATAAACTTATGTGTACAAGTCAGCGTAGATAACTTATATGAAAATAACTTATTTTGTATAACTTACATGGTACTTTTATAAGTTGTATGGTCAATTTATTTACATAAGCATATATAACGGAAGTATCAGTCAAACAGATGATGTTGTGGTTGTAAAAGAGATTGTTAATTAACAATTTTAAATCTTCTTCATGTTAAACATAAAATCAATCTATTATAACTTGGAAAACCTGCATAAATATAAAATATTATATTAACATGAGAACTTAAAGATATCATCTGATGAATAAATTAGACTAGTGTGATAACTTAGATGTATGACTTGATGAATGACGTAGATGTAAAGTTGGACGTACAAGTTATATTAAAAAACTTAGATTTATAAATTAATATCATAATATATTACTATATTAGCAGCAATATAAAACTATGTATAAAATAACTATGTAGTATAACTTATAAATATAAATATATAACATTGTAGAACCTGCACATCTTAATACCATAATCTAATACGAAGATTTTATTATATAACTAAATAGAAAGGAAATCATCTTTCTAGGCACACATCATAAGTCTAAATAACTTAAAACTTAAATGGAATACTTTGTGAGACTTAAAGTATATTATAATATAATACGGTTTATGCGTTACTAATGCACGATTTGTACGTTCTATGTCCTGATAGAAAAATAAATAGACAGATAAGAAATAAAAGGTAGCAAAATTTTAATGCAAAAATTAAGACCTAAATATGAAATCTTACATGTTGCTCAGCTATTGCCTTTATTTCAGGTTCAAAATGAAAAACACATATGAAATCATACATCATAAGTTTTTAATATAAAAATTAAGACGGCACAAGAATTATATGAACTGGAGACGTGTCACTTCGGGTTGTGATACAAAATTAGAGTCATATACATACAAATTTTATTTAGAAAGCTTAAATGAAAAAACAAATATGAATCAAAATCTTTCAATTAAGTTCTCTTTACATAATTTTATAGACAACTAATCATAATTTTTTTCTGTATATGCCAGCTGCAACCAAAATTTTGTTCATTACTATTAATGAATAAATTTATCGTAACAATTTCTCAACTAAATTTTCTAGCTAAGCTTTTATATAATAAAATTTTATCAATAACGCAACTTATACACATAGTTTTTCATCCTTCAATGTCTGTGAAAGAAATTATACACAACTTATCCAGCATAATTTTTGCACAACTTATTGCCAACAAATTTCTCAACCTGAATATTTTGTTCATAGTAGAGAGAAGAAAATTAGTTAGGTTAATATAAACAATACAAAAAGAAAGAAAAAGGAATGAAAGAAGGGGATAAAAACGAGAGAAAAGTGAACGGACCTGCGAAGCAAATGACCGTGCTAATTTGGATCCACGGGAAACTAAGCGAGCCAACCCATACGACGTGCATGTGATCTAATATAGATTCATGGGGGGAAATAAGCGTGCCAACCTATGTGACGTGCACATGACCTAGGTCACGTGCGAGAAGATCGGATAAGAAGAGAGAACGTTCACGAATAGAAAGTGCTAGCGCCCTGATGTTTAGACGGACGCTAACGCGCTACACTCCGTTTCGCACTCCACGCAAGGGTCGTGCCGCCCGAAAGACAAGAGGAGAAGGACGCGCGGCGCCTCCGATTTGGAAGGACCCGGCTGCGGCATCGTATGGATGTCCTACCGGCGCCGGGAGAGACGATGCAGCAGACGGTGGGAAGGAGAGATGCAACACACGATCTACTTTTGAAACATCTAAATACAACAGTTGCAACATACTTCTGAAGGTAGTTGAAACACTTGAAACATGCTTCTAAAAGACTTAAAAAAACACCTGAAAACACTTGAAAACCATTGCAACCATACACAAATATCCAAATAAAACGCATACAACGTATGTGTGAAACATATGCAACATCCAGATAAACATACTTACAACATGCGTCTGGAAAACACAAATGATGAGATGAAACATATCTCTGAAACATGTGAAACACTCGAAACATATGTTTGCAACATGCCTCTGAAACAATTGCAACATATGCAACATCCCCGATCTGCTTTTACAACATCCATACGAAACAAATGCAACATACATCTGAAACGTCTAAAACACTTAAAACATACATATGCAACTTATCGGAGGGGAAGGCTGGCCGGTCGATTCCGACCACCGGGGTGGGGGGAGCTCGGTCGCCAGGGTGAGAGAGGGCACCACCGAGGGCGGGGAGGGCGCCGCGCCGGGGTAGGGCGGAGCCGCCCACTCCCTGCAACACCGTCGCGCCACCTCCATGGATCTCACCGGGGTGGGGGAGAGGGCCACCAGATCTGCGGGCGTTGGACGCTCCCGGTGGATGAGGACGCCAGGGTGGGGAAAGGGGCCACCGGGGTGGGGGAGGAGGATGCCGGAGTGGGGAGCGCGCCGCCGCTGGCCGCCGCGAGCACAAGATGTGCGCGGGCGGCCTTTGCCTCGGCCAGCCGCCGCGAGCTGTGCGGTCCTAGCTCCGCTGCGGACCTACGGTTTTTTTTTTTTGTTGTTGTTCTTCTAAGAAACTACGGTGGCTCAGCTGGACGAGCGGATAGAAGGTAGTTATTTGGGCTGACTATGCGTCTCATAAATGAAAGCGTCTGGACGGACGGACCGTTCACGAATGGCTCACCTGACGAAAAAAATGAATCCAGCGTAGTAGGACAGAAAAGGAAAGAAATGAGTCCGAGGGAGTGTTCGCTGGATCGAAGGCGAGCGGACGACCTCCAGTCTGCAATTGGGAAATGCATACATACATATGTACGATCTTCTGTAGACCATAGCTCGTTCTTTCAGTGATCCAGTTAAGCAGCAAAAAGAAAAAAACATCTCTGGACAGTCAGGTCCAGTCCTAAGAGCTCAGCCGCGGCGCTCCTGCCGCTGCCGCCCGCTCCGCAATGCCACTGGCGGCGGCCGGCGATCCCTTCACGCAGGCCTCGTCGGAGTGGTCGGACACCACGTCGTAGCCACGGCTGGTCACGTTCCGGAAGTAGCACGCGTCGGAGGCCTCGTACCTGTACGTCTGGCGCGCGCCCCACGACTCCCGGACGGCTTCCCCGTCCTCGAAGTCCACGTCCCTGGCGCACTCCTGCGAGTTGCTCAGCGACCGGGACCAGAACCCCGACCGGCCGGCGGCGACGCGCTCCTCGCGGAACCCCAGCCGCACCTTCGTCGCCGCGGTGAACGAGTCGAAGTCAGTTTGGTTCACCACGCCCACGAACTTGTACAGCGCGAAGTTCTGCTGCGCCTCCTGCGCATACAGCACGCCGGCGTGGTTCGCGACGTGGGCGGCAGAGTACGCGTCGGTGGTCTGGCTCACCTCCGGCCGGAAAAAGCTATCGCGGGAGCGGATGGTGTTCTCGTACCCGAGCCTCTGCGTCCACGTCGCCGTGAACTTGCCGTACGACGGCGTCTGCACCCACCCGGAGGCGGAGACGTGCCGGAACGCCGTCGTGTAGTAGAGCCCGTTGTCGGGGCCCTCGGGCAGAGTCGCGGTGGCCGTGTCTAGGGGCGGCGCGTCGTAGCTGACCATGCCCGCCGCCGCGGCCGTGCCCCTGGGGTCCAACCAGAGGTGGAGGTTGGCGTCGACGAACCACGTGTCCATGGCGTTGGTCACCGTGAACGCGACCTCGTGCTTCTCGCCGTCCAGGAGCTTGCCGAGAAAGGCCGTGAGCTCGATGTCGTAGGACGGGAGGTTGAACGAGCCGATGCCGGTGATCGGTCGCCAGAGCAAGGGGTTAATGCCGCCGGTGTAGACCACGGGGAACGGCCACACGACGCCGACCAAGTCGCCGTCGATCTGAACGCTGACCTCTCGGAACGGGCCGGTTCCGGCGCTGTTCTCGTACCAGAACTCGTCGTCAGAATGGTAGGAGAGGTACACCTCGAGAACGGCACGGTACGTGTTGGCCGGCACCGTGACGCTCGCGGTTGCGACGTCGAAGTCGTTCTCGATCTTGAACCACAGGCCGTCGTTCAACGGGAGGCTCCGCGATAGCGGAACGACGGCGTCGGCGGGGCCCAGCCCGGGCTGCGGCGGCGGTGGCGGCGGGTGGCGGAAGTAGAGGTGTAGCGTGACGTTGGCGTGGAAGACGCCGGTGTACTGCTGGTCGACGATGTTGCCGAGGTACACGGCGAGCGTGGTGGAGTCGCAGGCGGCGAGGAGCGACGCGTACTTGGTCACGTCCTTGGAGACCGTCCAGTCGACGCCGGCGCTCTGGATGGGCGGCTCAGCGGTGCATCCACGGAGGAGCTCGGCGCCGCCTAGCCACACGCCGAAGACGCGGTCGTACTGGACGCCGCGGCACGTCGCGCGCCACTCGAGCACGGCGAGCGAGATCGCGGACGCGCGGCCGCCCGCCGCCGCCAGGCATGGCGGCGGCGAGTAGGGGGCCGTGGCGGGCTTGGCGTAGGTGTACGCGAAGGAGTGCGAGAGGAGCAGCGTAGAGCACGGGCCGAAGCTGCCCGGCGGCGGCCGGTGCGGCCGGTCCACCTCGAAGAAGACGGTCGGCTGGTCCAGCGAGGGCGGCCGTGGCGGCGCCACCGCTTCGATCGCGGCGACGTCGGAGGCAGAGAGACGGATCTTGTGAGGAAGCGAAGCCACGGAGATCGGTACAACGAAAGCCATGAGAAAGACGAGGAGGAACGGCACGTAGGAGCTGGCCATGGCTGGTGCCTGGGTGGAGGAGGGCGAGAGAGAGACCGCAGGTGCTTTGGCGCGCTTCTTGCAGTGGAGGGGATTTAAAAAGGGCGGTAAAGAGTAGAAGTGAAGTAGAGCGCACTCCATTTGCAGGGACCATGCAATGCTCTTATTCCCTGACGGAGTGACGGTAAATTGGACTGCAAGTCACACAGCGACACTTGGCCTCGCTAACTGAGGTAATGGGGGTAGTTAAATGTTTAATCAAGTTTGGATTGCAAGTTTAACTTAGCATGGGCCAGTGAAGTTAACTAGTAATACAGACAGCTGCTGCAGGGGCATTATGATTTGGTGAACTACTAGTATGATATTTACATGAAACCGAACATTAGCTATGTTCTGTACTTGTGTATGGCTCAGATTACTACAAGGTTTACAAGAATGGGCGCCGGAAAATCAGTAGCATACGCATTCCCAGAAGCCTGAAAGCCCTGTGATCATGTTCTATCTACTCTGGCTGAAATGCAGGTCCTACGCAGTTGTTGGATGAAGCATATTTGTAGGCTGTAGAAGTCCTCTTTGGCCTATCTGAAGTGATGGCTGACTGAGAGGCAACTTTGCCTTGCTTTGCTTTGGGGACTGGCTGCTCTAATGACTGAGATTCTCCACTCTTTGATTGGGATGGTGCGCCAGTAACAAGCGTTCAGGGCCCGCTACCATAGTTGCTAAAATCTGTGATTTTACAATAGAATTTTACTTCTTTAGGATCTTAACTAAGGAGCCTGATTCTACAATCCTAATCAATAGACTACCGCACAGGGATCTTACATCACCACCAGCACATACATCATCCCTGCATGGCATCCATCCATGGCTTTGGGACCAGCTGGTCAAACCAGCCATGGGAGAGGCCAAGAGACGACCCAAGTGATTGACCTCCAGCTCCAAACAAACCTTTGTGGCTCACAGCACAGGTTGATTCCAGTAATAATAATCAGCAGATAAAATTGTGTGATGATAGACTGGTAGCAACAGGACGCTGCTTGTTGCCCCCCACACACCAACACAAAATCCCATTGCATTTGTAACTACACAGGAGCGAAAAGTTGTCAAAAAATTGTTAGGAATGTCTGGTACAATTAAATGCCACTTCAAAACTAGCTCAACATAGAAGGGCAGACAACATAAAGCAGAAAAGAGATGACACAGGAACTGAATCTACTTTCGGATTTCTGATAACCTGATGTATGATACAACTCACTCTATACAGAGGCATACACAGCCAGCCTAACCTGGTTGCTCCAAGGCAAACTGGAAGGTGAAACGTGTCAAACAATCCTCTTCAGATTTTTTTTTCTAAAAATAAGAGGCATGTATGAATAGGGCATCTCTACATCTGCAACGGTGCAAAAAATTGTGGCCAAGACTGAAGACAGTTGCTGGCATAGCCATTATGAACATGGGCAGGAGAACCATCTTCAGATCAGTGAGTCGTATCGCGCTATTCAGATGAACTGCGGCGTTCTCCATATGCAGGCATGGTGTAATCCTCACTCACATGAGTAGATGAGCATGGTGTGTGCTTGGCCACCATTCATCAACCATTAAAATGAGATAGCTATGTATGTCAGAAAATTATCTTCTTCAAAATCAGAAGTACTATCATGATGAAGATCAGAATGACAAGGACAGTGGCACACATCACCATGCCCCTTTCTTCTGGGTCCTCTCAGCCTGCAGAACAGACGGACCAAGATATTAGACCACAAGTGAAGCAGCTACTTTTCTTTATTTCAAGCAACGCTATTGGGTTCTGTAAGTGAAGCACACATGATGATCATAAAGGCACAAGAAAGTGCCTGCAGTAAGCAGTAAACTGAAGCCTGAAGGGTTGGTTAAAAATTTAGTAATTTACAGCCCCAGTCGTGGAAAATGACATCTTTTACAGACATGGAAATAAAGGCAGGGTGGTATGGTTTAATGACAATCAGGATATTTCGAGATAATATACCAGCTAAAAAGGTGAAATATTTGAATCGCATGATTTCCACCGACGGCAAAATATTATGGGTACCCTGAAGGCATATATAACAAAAGATCAAATCTCTACACACCTATCATGCTATTCAAAAAAGCAACCAAGCACCATACAGCTTAAAGTCCTACCAGCAGCATAAAGGCTTGGTTCATCATTACTAAAGGTCCATTGTTACAGAAATGTATACAGCGGAAACATTAGTGAGGGTAAATATGATTTGAGGATGAAACCTTTTGCAACTGTTTGTAACCCTCCTCAACTGAAGCAGCAACGTTCTGTATGTTGTAGTCTATCCGATCGATGATGGTTCCCTGTTTGAAGTAAGAAATCAAGAGTCTGGTCCCAACTAGTTATCTAAAACCAATATTGACAATTAATCAGGGTTTCATATACCTGATCAATCACGAGAACTGAAAGATCCTTCATGATCTGTGCAAGTTCGTTGACTGATTCAACAACCTTCAAGCCACAAACAATAATAAACAGACTTCAGAACATGTGCTGTCAAAAAGAGAATAAAAATGCGGTTGACAGAACCATCAGAGAAATAAAGAAAAACTCACCTGCTCAATTTCTCTCTCCCTTTCTCTAGTGAACGCTTCGCTTTTCTTAAGTTTTGACATCTGAAACTCAGTGAAACCCTAGTAACAAAATACAATTATGAATTACATCAATAACTTAAACTTTAAAGAACTAGTTGCACTTCTCATCATCTGTTGGTCTGGATCCCAACAAGTATATTCTTAACACAATAAATTCAAATTCAGCCAAATCTATCATGCATGGATAATAAAAAATTCTAAAAAAGAAAGAAATGAAATACTGACACAATAAAGGATAGATAGTGCCGAAGAATTTCCTAAAGCATCATTGCAGGACTATACTCTGGATGGTGAATGCATGGTTGTGCTGTTATGTTTAATTGGGCCAATGTTAATTGCTACAACAAGATAAGGAAGTAAAAGAAACTTCTTGCATTTTACTCACATATATCATATACAGCATATATTACTAGTCAAGTGCCCATCTCTTACAATGGGCCTCAAATAACGATACCACAGCCTCTAATGAAACGGAGTGCACCATGCACTTTTCAATCAGTTCAAAGTTGCTAGGCAAAAGGACCAGGTACTACCCAGGTGCTTGTCATAGTATATAGCTTAGTATCCAATCTTATTCTCCATTCATAATCTATTTTATGCTATCCAAAGCAATGTGTTTGCAGCCAAAAGAAAAAATGTGTGTGTGGTAGGGTGGGAAGTGTTCTCTGTACACAGATGTGGATATCAACAGTGCTAATATAAGGTTTCAGGGAGGCATAATACAGAGTTATCCATTTCCACAGACAAATTTAATATCAGCATCCAGCCCCAGCCACAGCCACAGCATCAAGGAGGAGGAGAACTGAGTTACCCATAATGGAAACCCGATTCAAAGACTGAATTATGAACTGTATAACTAACCCAAATAAACAAACACCAGTGCACATAAGGCAGAACTTTGTCGTTACTATTTTGTCTTTTACCTGTAATTTTTTTGGATTTTTCTATTTATGCATAAAGAGGGAAGCATGTCCTGTCAAGAAAATGTTTATTTCACTAGTATGGAAGTCACAAGGAGTCCCGGAGAGTGAGCAAGTGTCGAATAAAGATTTTCCCCCTTGAACATGCAGGAGAGCTTTGTGTCATTTCATTAAGATAGAAAAAGAATTGTACAAATGTACAAAGAAAGGGGGAAAAACACATAAAGCCTCTCCCAAACACACTCCTCTTGTTAATATCTACTATGCGGCTAACATCCCATATCTAATAAAGACTGACTCATAGTGCATTAAATCTGACATAAGTTACTATAGGCACTCCTCATGCTAATATCAAATATGCAGAGACAAAAAGAATCACCAGAATCAAGCATGTAAAGACCAAAATAAAACATACCACATCGTCAGACTCATCGTCTTCAAATGTAGACTTCGTCCCATTTATATTCATTTCCAAATCAACACCATCCTGACCCTGCAAAGGTATTCGTCAACAAAGATATCAGTCAGGGTTGGACAAGCATTCTATCAGCACCTAATTATCTGATGATGCCAACAGAAGGAACCTCTTTTGTTAATGAAGCTGCTTTAAATATGATGACTGCTTTTTCCGGAACTCCATTGACAGGTTTTGCAGGTCTGTAGCAAGAGACCGCTGCACATAACAGCCAGGGGTATTTGTCCATCAAACAGGGAAAAAAAAGAACAAACTGTCACTCTTTAACTTGTAACTGCCAATGATAAATAAGGTTCTATCATCACCTGGACATTCTTTCGGACATTTGAATCCTCTGACGAATCTTTCATGGACAGCTTCTGCAGCCTCTTCTCGGACCTCTTGAGCAAGTCCGTTACCTCATGTGTGAGAACCTCAATTGCTCGTTGGTCATCTCTGCCATCGCCAAAGGATGGCATCAAGGCTTTGGCATGTGCCTTAGCCAGCTCCGCCATTTTTGTCCTTGCCCGCTGCATGTTTGCAGATATCTCTTCGGAAACATCCACCCAGGCTGGGGGTAGCCCGACTGTCACAGCGCCTCTACTGAAACACAGAAACCAAATGTCAAACACCATTACAGCTTACTGCCTAAGCCACTGATCACTGATCAACATGCTATAACAAGTCTTCCATTCGCTCGATCTAGTGGTGGAAATCCATATCCCCAGTAAGGCTACACAGGTCGTTGCCTCCTAGCAATTAGCAAATACGCAAAGGCTAGACTAGATCAGACAAGCTAGTGGGCGAGTCTAGTGATCTGCAATTCAACCAATTCATTTGAGTCGCCAGTGAATTAGCTCACTCTACTCGTTAGCATGGTCAAATGCCTCTCGATCTAGCTGAGAAACTCCCATCTCGCAACCCCGCGTCGCAGCTAGCAACCTCTAGTGATCCCCAAACGGCACAGAGACCAGACGAGATGCGAGGGGGGTGTTGTGAGTTGGAGGTGGTGGCACCTGGAGCCAGAGGGGTCTTCCGTGCTGAGGGGCGCGTAGGGGCGGTCGGAGAGCAGCAGCGAGGCCATCTCGATCACTGGCCCTCCCCCGCCCCCGCCCCCGCCCCCGCCGGACGACGACGGCGCCCCGGCCGGCGCGCGGACGTGCCGCAGCGCGTCGCGGTACTTGCGGTAGAGCGGCGTCCGGTTCCGCGTCGCCATGCCGCGGGCGCGGGCGCGTGAGATCTCGACGGCGAAGGCGTTTAAGTGATGGCTCGGTGAGGAGGAATTGGAGAGTTGGTGCGCGACGCCGTGGGGGGAGGACACGGTGGCGTGGGAGTTGAGGGAGGGGGGACTTCTCTCTCCTTCACTACCAAGGAAACAATGGCGCAATGGAACGCGCGTATTGGGCTGCTTTTTTGGGCCTTCCCAGATTCAGCTGGATCGTGCACTTCCGCTGTTAAGCATTGGGCTGGGCCGTGATTGCACATTGCTGGTCTGCTGCGACAACTGCAGGCTTGCTCTTTTTCACATGCTTTTGTGGGCTGGGTACCTCCGTAGGGGCATGTTTGGTTCATTAGTCCAGGGAGACTAAAACAGGGATTAAACTTTGGGAATATATCTAGTGCAAACCAACTTCTCCGTGCAAACTGTGCAAATCAACTGCGGGGGAGAGGTGGGAGGGGGGATTTGCAAAAATGTAATTACGTCCGCTCCTAATTACCCTTTTGCAAATCCCCCCTCTCACCTCTCCCCCGCAGTTGGTTTGCACGGTTTGCACGGAGAGGTTGGTTTGCACTTGATACATTGCCTTAAACTTTAGTCCCTAACCTTTTTTGGTTCAAAGGATTAAATGAGACTAAAGACCATTAAGGCAGTTGAACAAAGATCAAAACGCCCCCCTTCTCCTCTTCCCCTGCCACCATCGTCGCTCCTCTCCCTCCCCATCGTGCTCTCCGAGAAGCTCACCAGCCGTCGAACGCCCCCCCTTCTCCTCTTCGTCGAACACGTCGGCATCCTCGGACACGCCCCCCACGGGGAGCTCCTAGATCCACGAGCCACGACCACCGAGGAGAGCTCCCAGTGGGGGCAAGGGCGGCGCAGGGAAAAGAGGGGCGTGGCGACGGTCACGACCTCAGCTCCGGTGGCAATGTCGGAGATGACCGGGGTCCTGGGGGCAAGATGGCTCAGCGTCCTCCTCCCTTCATCTCAACCGAGAACTACAGCAAAGAGAGGGAGAGAGGGAAGGAGAGGGCGAGGCGGAGGGAGCAGGGGTGGCGTTCGTGGAGTGTGGGCACGGCGGCGGGGAAGAAGCGGGAGGAGGGAGTGAGAGAGGGAGCCGCGCGCCGCGTGAGGGAGGAGAGAGAGGGAGGGGGCATGGGCTGTCCTTTTGGGCTAGTAGTCCCAAATAGCCACCCTTCAAGGGACTACATGACTAACCCACTTTAGTCCCTCTTTTTAGTCCCCCTGTTTGGCAATTTACGGACTATAAATGGGATTAAAATGGGGGACTGTTGAATAGTCCCATGAGACCAAACATGCCCTAAGTCTATCATGTTCGACGAAATTGTTTTGGGCCACATAATCATCTCCTTAGAACTGAATTTTAGAGCGACATGATTTTTTTTGAACGAAAAACGTGGGGCAAAGAACCCCCCTAGGCGGCTTTAGAGCGACATGATTGAACTACGAAATATTCCCCTCTGGCTAAACTTGTCATTCATGACAAGATTTGGTTAAATCTTATTAAAACTAAAATCATCAATGACTATTGTATTATTTAGTTTACGTTCTACCTCATTTGCTAAATTATAAGTCATTCTGGCTTAACTTTTGCTACGCATCTAGAGATACACTATATCTACGTGCATAGCTTTGTTATGTACATAGAGAAACCAGAGCAACGCCTTATAGTTTGAAACATATGCAGACAACGCAAAGCCAAATATGCTCATTATTTTCTGACAACTCTTTTGTCTGATTCTATAAGGCCTTTGTTCCGTTGTAAATCAATCTAAGGGGTTGGAGGATTTTGACCTGCTAGGGGTTTAAACCCTCTCAATCACCTCCAACCTTCGTTAAATGAAGAATAACCGAACAAAGACTATAAGAAAACAAATACGTTCATTATTTCGTTTTCAGAACTGATCTGGTGCTGCCCGGCCGCTTGGATATGTACGCCGACGAAGATATTTGCGCAGGGGCAGGGACGGCCAAGGGCCAACTGCAATGTGCGGCGAGCTGGTGCTCGATCTCGCTGGCGCTGGAGTGGATCGGGATTCATTTCGGGGCACCCCATGTGTGGCGTCGTCCTCAGCCCTCGGCCCTTCACCAACCACCTACAGCCTCGTCCTGTTGTCTCATTCGCTCACCCAGCGCCGCAGCTGGCCCGAGCGGAGTGCAGCAACTGCAGGTGCAGGGCGTCCTTTCTCTTTGTTACTCCTGGCCCGGCCGTACTGTACTGAACTGGCACCGTCCATGACAAAACAAACCCCCATCTTTTCACTCGGCCAAGCGAAACAAACGGCCAGGGATGAGGGATGGGATCTCACGCTCCCCTTTTTTGACTGCCGACGACTGTGACCAGTACATAACCGCCCTACCAGCACATGCTACCTGCCTAGCCCTAGGTTCACACAGTTCAGTCAGAGTGCCACTGACTGCCTGTCCCAGTGTCCCTTGAGTTGCCTGCTGCCGGGCAACAGTTTGACTGCTGTGACAGGATCGGAAACGCACATCGGCACATGATCCAGGCATCCAGCTGAATGCTTTGCTCTTGCTCTGCCCCAGCGGGCTGCGGCTGTACATGAAAGTATGAAACGAGACCAGTGGAGTGGAGCGGAGCGGAGTGGAATTGAAGCTTAGCTCCAGGTGCGCTGCGCACTCGCGCTCGTGACGCGAGCATGGTAGTACTCACTGATGGCGCAGCCCTGCTGTAAGCCGTGTCGTATTAGCCAACTAATGGCACTCAGCTACGCTTACCGCGGCCGCAGGCCCGTCGTCTCACGGGTTGCCCGATCCCTTTCACTTCAGCGTGTGAGCTCCAGCCTCCAGCTCCCTTCCATCTGCGCGCGCGGTCACGGTCAGAGCCCTTGTCCCTTGACCTCTATTACTCACCACTGCTGCAATGCATAGCGATGCTCCAGCCACGCTTGCATCAGGAACAGGAGAACAGCTAGCGATGCTCCTGTACACTGTACCAAACGAAACTGACTCACTAAACCCGGGCGCCGTCGGTCTCTGGCTGTCACAGGGAGGGACCAGCAGGATTAACTAGCGTCACTAAACTAATGGCGGCGGTCGGCCGGCCGGTCGAGCAAGACAAACAGAGGGGTCAGGACAGGCAGCAGGGAGAGCTCTGCTCGGCGGAGGATGGAGGGGGGAAGAGTGGAAGACAGGCGGGGGCGGCGGACGGACCCGTACGTGGAGTGGACCAGAGGTCCGGAGGTGTGGGGAAAGCGCCCATAACTTCCAAAGGACGGCGTCAGCTTTTCGCGTGGTCCGCCTATTGGGGTTGGACCAGGACCGCGCTGCGTTGCACTGCATATTTGCATGCGCCGAGGGCCGCGGGCGATCGTTCCGCGGTGGACTCTGGACTCGGACGTGCGTCCTTGCGCAGCCTCGTCTCGTCTGCTGGCTGGGCCTGGGCGCCCATGCCCGGTGGAGCTTTTGGTGTTGCCGTGTTGGTGGTGCCTGGCAAGTGGCAACGTGGTGGCTGATCAAGAAGAGTGAGGTTCGGAACTGGAGTGGCTCCAAGGGCAAGCTGCTAGTCCCAGCGTGTCAATGTGAACCTGAAAAACAGGGCAATGCTCTTGTGCTCGTGAGTCATGACCGCGGCAAAAAGATCCGTAAAAGTAGAACTGGCAGTAGTCACTGGGTGTCTGGGCCCTATAAAAAGAAAAGGCATAATAGCTATTTTTTTCCCTCGATTATTATTCGAGGCCTAGTTTTATCTCTGAACTTTTAAAACGATCATTTTAGTCCTGAAACTCTATTTTTAGGCCCAATTGCATCTAGAACTATGAAGATGATCGTTTCAGTCCTCAAACTTTGCATTTTGGGCTCAATTTCATTTATAAACTATCAACGTGTATTTTGTTCTTTAAACTTTTATTTTCAACTCAACTTTATCTACGTTCTACATGGAACGTTGTACCGTTGCACCTGATTAGCTCCAACACCACTAACGATTGGAGATAGAAAATAATATACATCCAAAAACTTTTCCGTGGCCATTAATAATTTCAAACTGTTATTTTTAGTGTTACCTTATAATGGTACCACTTATATATACCTGACTAAATAATATTTGTGGGAGCAATTACAGTTGCATCGAACACTGTTTATTCTTTAAGAATACATGGATATATTGAAACAATAGCAAATCTATAATTTTGATAATTTTATGGATGAAATTGTGCCTAAAATATAAAGTTTTCTTTTTAAATAGACAAAATTGAGTTGAAAATAAAAGTTAAATGCATTTTGATAGTTTATGGATGAAATTGAGCCCAAAATACAATATTTGAGGACTGAAACGATCATCTTCATAGTTGTAGGATGAAATTAAGCCTAAAACTAAAGTTTGAGGATCTAAACGATCGTTTTAAAAGTTTAGGGATGAAATTGAGTCTCGAATAATAGTTGAGGGACCAAAATAGCTAATGTGCCTTAGTTATAGCCTGTTTCTTTTTCTTTTCTTTGAAAAGAGTGGCAAACTAGTGGACAACCTCAGTCTGTAGAACGGTACTAGTGCCTGGACCTCTAGCTGTGACGACTGACAACACAAACAGTAACCCGTTTTTATTGGCGATGGGCCATGTGTAAACCTGAATCAATGCAATGCAATGCAATGCAGAGCCGTGCACTCTCTACCGTACACAAGCTGGATCATTTCACTCGACACAGGCCTCTGCCTGGCTGCATGCTCCCCTCGTATTACTGATTACTGAAACGTAGCAGCAGCACGCTAGACCTGAGCATTTTGCGGCTCAGGCCGGGTTCGGGCTGGGCCAAAAAAGCCCGGTTATTTTAGCCCGAAAAAGTCCCGTCCATGATCATCTCACTAGACAAGCCGAGCCTAGTTTTTTGGACTGGGCCCGGGCTTGGGTGGGCCCCGCGCATGTTACACTATAAAATAGCTAAAATAGTATTTTGGGTTGGGCTCGGGCCAATTTTTTTTTTCTGGGCAGCCAGATCTGTGCCCAGACCCTAGTCGGTAA